CAAAAAAAGGTAAAAGAAACATAGGAAATAAATTTTAATAATATATTTTAACACAATATGTCTAAAATCTTATTACTTTAACATTCAACCAATATAAAAATTATCAATGAAATATTTTACATTTTTTTTTACTACCAAGTCTTCAGTATCTGGCGTGTATTTTACACGTGCAGCACATCTCAATTCTTACCAGCCACATTTGAAGTACTTGATAGCCACATGTGGCTAATGCCTGCTGTACTGGCCAGTGTAGCTCTAGATGATCTCAATGTGAAAGGTATGTGAAGCAAGAGGGAAGTGAAAGCAGGCTGAAGTTCCTGTTCTGTTTAAAGTTAGATGTAGTCACTAAGGAGCATTCAACAAATGTAATAAGTGGTGTTTGGTACAAATGGTTAGCCATATGGAAAAAATAAAATTGTATCATGGGCCATTCATAAACATAAATTCCAGATGGAGCTATTTTTTTTTAAGAGAAAAAAGTACAAAATACAAAAAGTATTAACTGGGAGCCCTTTGTAAGATGCAAAATGCAAAAACCATAAAGGAAAAGATGGCCAGATTTATCTAAAACAGAAATACAAAATTGAACTTAAGCAAAGAGCATCATAAGAAAAGTTAAATGACAAGGGATACAGTAAAAGAAAACATTCATAAATCAGTAAGAAGACAAATAAGCCAGCTGAAGAATAGAATATGTGGACAAATATTTCAAAGAGTAATTTGAATAGGGAACATGTATATAAGATACGTTTAGTGATGAGGGCAAGGCAGATTAAATAACAACAAGCTATTTTTCTTTCACTAGACTGTCAAAAGCAAAATGAAAAACACCGGCATATTACCTTGTGTCTCTCATTTATGCCACTGTTGGAAATGTATATTGTACAGTCTTTTGGAAGGCAATTCGGCAGAATCTATCGAAATTAAAACATAACTCCTTTCGACTCAAAGATTCCATTTCAGAGAATCTATTCTTCTAAACATCTATACATGTGCACAAACGTGTATGTGCAAGTATTTGAGGTGTATCACCAGAACTGGTGAAATCCATCAGTTCATCCCAACCAAAAGAACACCACAGGGGGGCCTCTGAATGCCCTGTCACGAGAACATCCTCAAGATCTCAACTTACTTGGATCAGTCAAAAAAGCCAGTCTTGTAGACCACTACTTTTTGTATTATTCCATTTCTATGAGACTGAAAAAGGCCACACACATACAATTGTGTGCTTAAATACATGTATGTGTAAGTAACTGACTAGAGAAAGGGCTCTCAGAACATACACCAAACTGGGCGGTGGGTAAGAGAGATGAGGGTGTCTGTGGAGGGACATATTTGTATTTTACTTCATGTACTTCTATGCTGCTTGACTCTTTTACAATGCAGATGGTTTCATATATTACTTGTGGAAGGAGAAGGTTTACAGAGAGAGCCGCATTCACAACTGCTCCGCAAAAGAAGAAGCTGATTTCAGGACTTGGAGCTACCTCTTCTCCAGCCCTGCCTGAGCTGAGTGATTGGGTCATGTCCACATTGTGGAGTTGTCTCTGGGTGTCTCTCCTTGTGGGCACCAGATAGATGGTAGGTGTTCTCAGCCCACACCAGAGGTCAAACATGGAACACTTGCCCTCTCTGTGTAACCTTGACCCCACACTCCCACCTACCCATCTACTCCACAGCATCTCAAGCCCAAGACTGGCCTTTTAAAGTATAAGTCCTGCTGATGGTATTTCCTGGCCATGCTGAAATATGTCTCCTGGAGGAGGAGAATAAGGGCAACCACTGTGACAAACAAACCAAAAGCAGAGGGCCAGTGTGTGGATTTTGTTGATGACTGTGGCTTTCATTTCCCCAAGGCAAAGAAACCAGAGGAGGCTGTGGTTAGGGTTTCTCATTTTTATGCTGAGGTTTTTTGGGAAATTTCAAAAGTTGCCACCCATACCTTATTAGGGGAGGGAGAGGAAACTTCCTCTTCAGGATGGGTCAAGGATTGTGGGAAGACCTTTGTGTGAGACCAAGTGTCATGCAGAGACAGCAAGAGAGAGACTGGGAATCAATTCCTTCTCCAAGGGTTTAATTAAAGTGTTGGGAATTTGCAATCTTATTCAGAAGTTAACATCTGAGTATAGATTTGAAGGAAGTAAGAGATGAAACCATGTGGATGTCAGACAGAAAAGCATTTCAGATGCAGGGAATAGCAGCAATGCAAAGGCCCTGAGGTAGGATTATGTCTAGTGTGTTGGAAGAACAGAAAGGAAGCCTTTGTGGTGTGGCTGGAGCTAAGGGAGTAGGCGGTGAGCACAAGATAAGGTCAGAGGGGAGGGAGAAAGGTGGAGCGTGAGAATTGCCTTGACATTAGAAAGACTTTGCCTTTTATTCTTGGTGAGTTGGGAACCACTGGTGGTCTGAAAGCCAGAGAGTACATGATCAGGCTGACATTTCACTTGATGCCTCTGGCCTCTGTCTGCCGTGTCGGGAACAGACTAGGGAGTAAGGGAGAAAGCAGGCAACTGCAACAGACCAAAAGAGAGACAGTAGAGCTGAGATATTTAATGGAGTGACCAGCAGCATCAGAAGCACCTGAAGGCTTGGGAAAGCAGATTGTTGAGCCCCAGCCCTGGAGCTGCTACCTGTTAGTCTTGAGGGGAGTCCAGGGAATTTCTGTAAGTTCCCAGGTGATGATGATACTGATGGTCTGGGCGCCACACTTTGAGAACTTATCTTTGTAGCATTGATGAAAACGTTTGTTTATCAAAGTCCTCAAGGAAGCACATTGCTCGCTCCTGTGTCCGAAGAGCCCAATGTGATGCCTGCCACGAATCTTGATGGAGCTCAGCCTCTGGGCCAGGCCTGGTACTATTGAATGAGGTACCTGAGGATCCCAGGTTTGAAATGTTTGGAGGTAACCGGTGATGAAACTTTCACAGGAAGTGGTCATTAGGGGGAAAGGATTCCTTGTAATAACAATGACAACAGGTGTGATACCTACCCAGTATCTGCCTAGGTGTTTTACTTGTATTTGTCTCCAATTAAATCCTGTAAATGCCCAGGGAGTTGGGCATTATCCTGGGATTTTATGAATGAGGGAACCAAGGCCTAGAGAGTTTAATTTTCCCAAGACTGCAGGATTAATAAGTACCAGAACCCAGCCAGGCCTGACTGACAGCTAGCTCTCTGTGGTTACATCACAGGCTGCCTCAAGAAGTCACAGACAAGACCTAGTAATTAAAGAACCTCAAGAGATACGAGTTTCTTTTATTGCGGACAAGGGGTCTTTTAAAAAATGCCGAGAATATGCCATCCTTTACAAAAATGCTTCCCATCTGAACTGAGATTCCTGTTCACACAACATGTTTTCAGCCTCAAGCCCTTCCTGGCAGAAACCAGTAGCAGTGGCTGTCCCAACAGAAGTATTTGTGCTGATTTTCGTGGCTTTTAGCCTTCTCTGATGGAGCACTTTCCTTCCCTCTCTCTCTTCTCAGCTCCTCCGGTAGGATGAAGGGTGTAGGATTTTGTGCTGAGGCGCTGAAGCGCCAGCCTGTCTCTAAATGGAATCCGTGTATCTTGCTAGGGAGGGAGAAAACCAAGTTCCAGCACTTCTCTCCTTAGCCTCTCTTTTCCCCTACCCTTCTCGGAGGATAAAAATAGCTGCTTCCCAGGGCTTCACTGCGAGGGAGCAACTGCGCGCTGAAGCTGGGCCTAGCCTGAGAGCAGCTGCTCCCCAAGGCACGGGCCCCGCGGGGAGCCTTGGGGTCAGGGCAGGGGCCTGTCCGTAGGGACGAGGTGTCCCCGGCCGGGAAGTGGCACTTGGAGCCTCACCGAGAGAGGGGGCACTGGAGCAAATTTGACCGCGATGGTGGGTGGCTCGCAAAAATACATCAGGAGGCCCGGAAGTCCATGCACTGCCTGGCTCCACCGCCTTTAAGTACAAAAGGTGTATCTGTGGTTCTTAACCTCTTTGAGGGGACAAGGACTCCCTAGAACAAATGATGACATACCACCTCTCTGTGTCCACTAAGCATTCACACAACACACAGACACCCGGACACGGACACAAATACACACTGAGGCGCATACACTTTTGCACACAATTTCGTATGATTGGAAGGCTGTTGAAACCCGGCATGGACCACAGATTAACAACTCCAAATGCAGGTTGATTACAGTGATGCAGAACGATTATAAAAAATAAAAATTTGGCCGTGAGCAGCGGCTCACGACTGTAATCCCAGCACTTTGGAAGGCCGAGGTGGGGGATCACCTGAGGTCAGGAGCTGGAGACCAGCTGGGCCAACATGGTGAGACCCAGTTTCTACTAAAAATACAAAAATTAGTCGGGCGTGGTGGTGGGCGCCTGTAATCGCAGCTACTCGGGAGGCTGAGGCAGGAGAATCGCTTGAACCCGGGAGGCAGAGGTTGCAGTGAGCCGAGATCGCGCCAGTGCAGTCCAGCTTGGGCAACGGAAAAAGACTTTGTCTCAAATAAATAAATAAAAATATAAAACTAAATAAAATTTTGTAGCATGTAAAAGTAGGGTTACTAAAGTGGGCTAAGATCTTTCTGGAAAATATATGTAGCATAAATTCATGAGAATAGATACGGAAATGATAAAGTTCACTACCGATGGTAAGATAAAGTTTGATTTCTATTTAGTTGAGTTTTCTCACTAAACAGAAAAGCACGCTGCTCTTTCGCAACCAGAACGGCCACATCCAGGCGTTTCCGGGGACCTGGGGCGCCCAATAGGCTGCAGGAGGGGCCGGTGGCTCGTGCCTGGCCGGTCGGTCGGAGGAGGGTTACAGACAATAATAGACAAGCAAACCTTAGACGCGGTGGCCGCGGGGAAAGACTCTTGGGGAGAGGGTCACCCTACCCCTTAGCCTGCCAAGGGTATTTAAACCCCCAGCTCGCCGCCCAGAACGACCCGCACAGAGCGAACGGTGCGTGCGCGCTCCCGGGGAGGCGGCGGCGCGCACGGCGCGCGTCTCCGCGGGCAGCCCCCTACTCCGGACGATGCCGCCGAGTACGCGGCGGCGGCGGCGCGCTCTGGAGGTCTGAAGCCGCGGCTGGCTGCCACGGGCCGGCGGCGCGATGAGCTGGGCAGCCGCCCCCGGCTCAGGGCTGTGAGCGGCTCGGGGCCGGGGGTGGGCGGTGGTGCGGCGGACGGCCGACGCTCCATTTCGGCGGCGGCGGCGGCGGCGGCCATGCGCGCAGCGGCGCGGCTGAGGCGGCCGGGCCGGGGCAGCCTCCTGGGGGCCCGCGGCCTGAGGGCCCCGTCGCCGCCGCCGCCGCTGCTGCTGCCTCTGCTGGCGCTGCTGGCGCTGCTGCCCGCGCCTGGCGCCGCCGCCGCCCTCGCCCCGCGGTCCCCGGCGCTGCCGCCGGCGGCCGCGGGGCCCAGCGTAAGCCTCTACCTGAGCGAGGACGAGGTGCGCCGGCTGATCGGTGAGTGGGGCCGCCGAGGCCGGGGCAGGCAGGTCGGGCCGTAGGGGGCAGCTTCCGGCCGCCGGCGGCTCAGTCTGCGCGCCGTGGACCGCGGGCATGTGCCCTCCCCGCCTCCCGCGCCCAGGTTCGCCTCGCGGCCCGGCCTCTGCCTGCCTTGCTGGCCGGGAGGTGTGGTCCCTGCCCGGCCCCTAGCTCCGGGTCAGGCTTCGTGCCTTCCCCGTCACCCTCTCTGCCCCGCCGCTATAGATCCGGATCCACCCATTCCATCCTCACTGCCTCCCCAGCCCTTCTCCCTAGTCCTTAAGACTCAAGCGCTCTTACAACTTTTCTTCCCTGCCGCACCGAGTTTCTTTGACCCTTTCTATGGGTGTCACTCTAGGGCCTTCGATTCGAATACCTCGAAATTTACGTTTTAGACTGAGCTTGCAAACCCTTTGCTGTGGTTTTAATGCCCCAGTAGAGGCCACGCTTCTGTGCTTACCCTTTTATAAAAAAAAAAAAAAAAAAAGTGGGAGGGGTTATAAAGGCATCAAATGTTCGTGGCAATCTCCAAATCTTAGACCTAGATTTGGAGCATATGCTTAGATTCTAAGCATATTTTTAGTGAGTAAATCGCCAGGTAGCAAACCTTTTTAGTTTCAGTACCTTTTTGGTTTTTGCATTGGGTATGTTGGAGTTTGGACTGATCCTGTGCTTCTGGGCTACTCCCGCTTTGAGTACCTTGAAGGGAAACAAGAACTTAGTCTTGGGTTGGTTTGTGGTTCTATTTGCTTACTTCGCTTTGTTGTTTGGGGAATTAATTTGAAAAATTTCTGGGGGCCTGTGTTAGGACTTTGTGGATTCTGGAAATGAACCCTTAGACGAAGATCTGACGGGAATGACCCCCAAAAAGGAAGCCCTTGGTACCTAGAGATTTGCATTTTGTTGTTGTTATGGCAGTCTTTTTATTTCATATCAAGGTGGTGCTTCTGAGTGCTTGAGGGGGAAAATTATCCTCGGTTGCATCCATTATCTGTCAGTATTATTCTATTTTTTTTAAGTTCTACTTTCTTGAAGTGTGTTGAGATTGACTCAATGTAGAAATGGAATTACTTATAGCACTCTAGACATTGTTACTTTACATGTACGGATTTGTAGTTTTTAACCAAAGAAGAATGTTGGTTTCTTTTTTTTTTTTTTTTTTTACAAAGTAAAAACTATGGTTTTTACAAAGTTGTGTCATTCTTAATCCTTCTTAGTCTAGCTGAATTAGCTGAATGTAGTTTAGCTGAATTAAAACTGCAATTGGGGTAGTACTTGGAACACAAGACTAAGACTTAGGAAAAATAATACAACACGATGCATATCACATTAATTTTAGAAATATTAATGTATAAATGCATGGTTTTGTAAAGGCTTTTTGGTTAAAGCCCTTAGCTTGTGAGTTTGTTTACGTGGGTAAACAAGTCGGGGTGAAGGTAGGGGACATAGGACAACGAGGGACTGACATTGATTGAATTCCTGCCATAGACCTGCTCCTACATGCTTTAACACATAATTTCTTCTAATTTTCTTGTGGCCCAGTGAAGTAGGTGGCATTATTCCAATTGTAAAGTTGAGGAAAATGGGATTTTTAAGTAACTTGCTCAAGGTCACACAGTTCATAATTTTTTACAAAGTGAAACAGTGTTGACATAGGCTGCAAAGTTTTATTGAATGAATTGAAGATATTGTCTGTGGAAGTTTGATTATAGCATGATGGAAAATAAATCATTGTTAATTAGCACTTGAAGTTACATATTTGTTACCTTATTCAAAGGTTGGCCTGGAACTAATTTTTTTAGCAATGTTTGCAGTAGAGGAAGCTCCTAATTGATAAGCATCCAATTTATGCCCAGAAATGCTGTTGTTGGGGAGAGGGTATGAAGTATTGTTTCAGTTAACTCCCTTGTTTACCCCAAAGGCAAGAAAGACTTCTAGCAGTAGTTTCTTTAGTGCAAGTAGGGTTGACTTGTTATAGAGCATCTGTAGTCACTCCATCCTGACAGATTCAGGTTCGTACTTTCCATCCCTTCCCATCACCGTCATACATTCTACCTTGAAAATAATTCCTTGGCTCCTCCTGCTAGGGAAGAGCAAGTGGGTAGGGCTGAGATGTATACAAGGCACTCCGAGTTCTCAGAATGCAGTTTCTCACAGAAACTGTTTTGGTACTTAAGGCTTCTTGGAATAGTAGCTTTTCACCATATTTTATTTATTATTATTATTATTTTTTGAGATGGAGTGTCACTCTGTCACTAGGCTGGAGTTCAGGGGTGGGATCTTGGCTCACTGCAACCTCTGCCTCCCGGGTTTTCCTGCCTCAGCCTCCTGAGTAGCTGGGACTGCAGGCGCATGCCACCACACCTGGCTGACTTTTGAGATGGGGTTTCACCATGTTGGCCAGGATGATCTCGATCTCCTGACCTCATGATCCACCCATCTCAGCCTTCCAAAGTGCTGGGATTACAGGTGCGAGCCACCACACCTGGTCTGTACCATATTTTAGAATCACTGTAGGTTTTCGTCCCTTCTGAACACTAGCGTGGGAAATGAACCATTATTTTATAATATTTTTAAGGCAATTTAGAATTCCAAGTAAGAAACTTACAAATGAAGTTGATAATAGCTTTATAAATTGAACTAATTACCCTTGATATGAGAATAAGTTGTTTTAATCCAATCAATACATCTATACATATAGTTTTATGAAAACCCAGGAGCGCTAAATGGCTTTTAACAAACACAGTAGTCTCTTGCTTTTGGCTTTTTTATCCTCCAGGTGCTACTTTCCAGGGATAACTATTGCCTTAACTAGTTCTGTTTATTTTTCCTTTCTCTTTTTTTACTTTTGTAATTCTAAAGAATTGTAGAATAAATCTTTGACTTTTTAGTATCATAACTGAGCTCTTCCTCTTTCCTCCCTTAAATCCTCTGATGTAGTTACATAACTTTTTTTTTGTAAAAATAGCAGTATTTTTATTGTTGTGTACACATGTATTGCTAAATAGTGACTTATGATTGTTTTTTCTATTTCTATACATTTTGCTTTTCCCAGCACAATAATTGTATTTTATCAAAATTGGATTTTGATTCATTATCTATTTATCTTTGGCTCTGTTCCCTTAACTACTCCAAGAAATATGTTAAAAGCCTTTTGATTTTTTTTCCAGGTAACACATTAAGTCATCTGTCAATTCTACCTAGTTTCCCTTTAGAGACTTCTTGGTCTGGAGCATTCCATCCTCTTGCTCCGATCTGGACAGTAGGATTATTTTTTCTGGGACTTCTGTTCCTTCTTTCAGGTCTTGGAACCTCTGTTTCTTGAATCTTCTGTCTTCCTTTTTCTTGGCTTGCTTCATTTTGCTAATATATATGTATCCTCAGTAGATTCTTAAGAAGGAATGATGGGAGATAAATTACTTGAGGCCTTGCATGTCTGAAGATGTCTGTCCCATCATACTTTGTAGATGGTTTGGCTCAGTTTAAAATATTAGGTAGAAGATACATTTTTTTTTCATAATTTTCATGGCATTTTCACCGTTTTCTATCTTAAGGGTTTTTGATGAAACATCCAAGGCCATTCTGATTCCTCTTTTTTTCTCTGTTGTTTGAAGCAGGTTCTTTTTCTCTGGCATTCTGAAGTTTCACAACTTCAGAATTATTAAAATTAATTATTATTATTAAAAATAATTCCCACCCTTTAGTTTGTGTTTGTTTGTGTGTGTGTGTGTGTGTTTTCTTTCTGAGATGTCTGTTGTCTTGGTTATTGAACCCCCTAGAAGTGATCTTCGAGTTTTCTTAACCTGTCTCACCTCTTATGTATTTCTTTGTATTGGAAGGAGTGCGCAGGGGAGGAATTTCTCAATTTTGTCTTTCACAGCTTTCATTTAAAACATTTTAAGGATCACATTTAAAAATTTTAGAGTCTTTTTCTGTTTCCATTTCATTGCATCTTATTTGATGAATGTATTATTTTCACTTATCTCTGATGTGTATATTTTTATTTTTTCTTTGTGTTTAATATATTTTTAATATTTCTTCTGTTTTCTTCAGTGTGCCTGTTCATTTCAGGGATCTTTTCTATGTTTGTTTAAATCATAAATATCTGGTGAGCCTTACTGTCTATAATGAAGAGAAAGATCCTGAGTAGTTGATTACAGTTGATTGCACTTGGAATTCAGGTGGACTTTTCATCGGGAGTCTGCCCCGAATATTGACACCTTTACATCTCTTTTGGGGCCAATGTTTGCAAAGAAGAAACCTGCATCTCCTGCATCTGGGATACTTGGTGATATGCCAGCTGCCAGGATTTAGGTTATCTGGTTGAGGGAGGGATGGAGGCTGTAGTCTTTGACTTCTGGCTACAGTTCCCCTGCTACTGTGATTCAGTGTCTTCAGAAAACACTTTGGGTCTCCTGCTGGACCTGGGGGTCCAACTGCATTGAACACCTCTTTCAGTGACTCCCGGTTGTCTAGGCTGAGCCTCTGATCAGCCTTTGGCACCTCCTTGGTGCCTCAAGGGCTGAACCTCTTGGAGGTCCTGAGGAGCAGTGACTATTCCTTCAGCTGCTTTGCCATCTTGTAAAAGTTTGTAAAAAAAAAGTATGTTGTCTTTCCCTTTCTGTCTGTCCTTGTGGTTTAACGTCTCTGTGATTTTTTTTTTTTTTTTAACTATCATTTTAGAGGAATTTTGGAAGGAAATGGAGATGAGTGATTATGGTCATGTGGCAGTCTTTTTGTATGAATAGTATTAAGGGTAGTTAGTAGTAGCGGTTGTAGAAGTAGTTGACACTTTTAAAAATGCCATCTTTTTTGTCTGGGGCCTAGAGATCATCCCTGTGTTGTGTGCTGTTGTTTCCATTCTATAGAGGAGCATTAGTCTGCTCAGGCTGCTGTAACAAAGTATCATAAATTGGGTGGATTGTAAACAACAGAGATTTCTTTCTCACAGTTTTAGAGGCTGGGAAGTCCATCATCAA